GAGTCTCTGCCATGTAATTTACATCTAATCAGTATTCTGCTCTTCTGCTGCTCATCTCAAAGGGTGGCACATGCTATAAGGGGGGTGGGCGACACACTCAAGAGAAAATTGTATCTATTGGATTCAATCCTGTCCTCTAATACACGGCGGTGTGTTAGCAGAGCAAGTACAGGAGACTGTTTTGTGAGACACGTAGTGACACACTCCTGCATGCAGAAGGGGAGTGTATATTAGCGAGCACAATACACAAAACATAGAAATTGAGCAAAGGAACCATTTTTCCTCTACACACCAGCTGATCATTTATCTATCCATCCATTTAGGTACTTTCATAGCCCTCATCACTGTAATATCTGAGCACTTATACACAGAGCCCCAGTAAAAAATGAAAATGAGTTGTTTTAGCCAAACTATAAATGAATTATTACTCTCCTCTCACATTTTTAAATGTGAGTAAAATCATAACTGCACTTTCACACTGAAGACAACTAAAAGTGGACTTGCCTCCTGGAAAGCATCTCCTTCTGGCTTCTTGTGCAATACCCCATTACTCGAATGGAAGCCACTTTTTATCCCATATAAAACATACCAGATGTGCATCAAGTACTCTAATAAATACTTGCAATCTATGAAACACCCGACCCCCCAAAGGGCTAATACATGGCAGCAATATCACCCCTGTGAATTTCTCCTGGGACGACATGCCTAGGATTTGCTCTCCCCTCCAAACGGAGAGGGAAATAACTTAACTGCTCTCAGACCCCACAGCAAAAATTACTTATGGTGGGGCTGAAGCTGTACTGGGAGCATACACTGGACTTGAACGGAGGGGAGAGGAGAAGCAAAAGAAGGAGCGAAGTTGGGGGGAGGAAAGGGAGAGGACAGAAGAAGAGAAGGCAACCACGTTTATTGATTCGTTCAGATTGCTATAAAATTCAAAAATGCCACAACTGGGCATGGTCGTTGCAGCCAAACAGGCAGCTCCTTGCACCCACGCTGATCCAATGGCAGGACCACTGCCTAAAAGCTCCCCTATCCTTCTTTTGGAGTCCTTTAGAACCATTACAATTACAACCCACAGACATAAACTCAGATATAAAGTCTAATCCTCGCCACATGGCTAACTATAACCGGGAAGACAGGGAAGACAGAACACCTCTCCCTCTCCCCCAATATACATATGGTACATAAGACCCATCCTATCTAGATGTTGTACCACAAGACCCGGGTATGTTTCGAATTCCATCTCTTGGTTCTGGAGACTCGGCAGAACTCCACCACAGGTGTCTAGCCTCATGCATCACCGCTCCCCATCCTTCATTCTCTATATAATTAACCATTATTACGCTCAGTACATTTAGCAGAATCCAGTGAATTACAGGCACCAGTGCCTTTGCTTCCAGTCAGGGTTAATACCAGCAGCCAACCTTAGCATCCCATGAAAAGCAAATGACAAACATACGGAGATCAAAATATTTGTATTCAATCTTTATTGCCTGCTGACAAGTTCAATGGGCCTGAGCTACATCTAAGGGACAGGACAGAGTGCATTTGTTGTTTATATTTGACATACAGCAGAACGTTTCACATTAACAGAGCAGTTGTTATGGCAGCTGGAATTTCTGAGGCAGACTATAGAAGTGCAGTTTTCTCAGTGGCTAAATCCTGCTTGCTTTACTCAAGCGAACTGTCCCACTAGGCCAAATGATGATCTTACTCACGCCATTTGAAGAATAAAGACCTAGTATCATTCGAAAATGTGGCCTGGCTTCATGTGTTTAACACCAAGCTCTCACATGTGGGATGCCTGCATATGTGATTAGTAGTGAGACTCATGCTAAGGAATGCACAAAATCCAAACCCATACAAATAATTATAATAATGTGGAAAGGATCAGAATAAGGACTCTGTGTGAGACAAATGGGATTGGCTTTTCTCATTAGATGGGGAGATTAGGGTCCAACCCTGCAAACGCTTATTCACAATTATTCTTCATTTATTTATTTCTAGTTATGCCCAGACCTTGCTTTCCAAGCAATGCCAAAGGAACCTTCCCAGAGGACCCTGCAATGAAGGAGAGAGAGTCCCTGGATTAAGAGCTACTTCTCTGAGTAAGGCTTCTGGTTTGGAGAATTCCAGTGCACAAGAAAAGAAGAGACAAAGTTTGAATTGATAACTATAATTCAGTGCTAAAGGATAATCCAATTGCCAGTTTCATTGCCAATTATATTGCCATATGGTTGTTAATTCAGACACAGAATATAAGAAAGAAAATAGCACCGTAAAATATTTAGCATCAGATTATCTATGCATGTGTTTCTGTGTCTTCTGGACATAAAGGGTCATTAATAATGCTTTGTTCTCTCCCCAAATGCCTTGACATAGTAGTTTCCTTTATCAGCAATTAAGTCTGAAACAGTTTAAGGTTTAGTTTCCGAGAGCCTAGGCCTGTGACAAGCTGAGTGCCTCCTGCAAGATACCAAGGGCTCCCAATTACCATCTAAACCAATTGCGCTTTGTCTACAGTGACAATGCTAAGTAATCCTCTCACTGCTGGTTTAACACTGGTGCAGTTCCACTGACTGTGGTGTAAACTGGCATTTTTAACAATGTGCCGTAGAATCATATCAATGTAGGGCTGGACGGGATCTCGAGAAGTCATCAAGTCCAGCCCTTTGTGCTGAGACAGAATCAGGTGTTTGGCCAACTTGTTCTTAAAAACCTCCGGTAACAGCGATTCCACAACCTCCCTCAGAAGCCTATTCCTGAACTTAGAATTAGGAAGTGTTTCCTAAATCTCCCTTGTTGTACATTGAGACCACTACTTCTTGTCCTACCTTCAGTGGACATGAAGAACAACTGACCACCATCCTCTTCATAACAGCCCTTAACATATTTGAAGACTGTTATCAGGTTCCCCCTTCTTTCCTCAAGACTAAACATGTCCGATTTTTTAACCTCCCCTCAGAGGTCAGGTTTTCTAAACCTTTTATCATTTTTGTTGCTCTCCTCTGGACTCTCTCCAATATGTCCACATTGTTCCTAAAGTGTGGGCCCAGAACTGGACACTGTACTTCAGCTGAGGCCTCACCGGTGCCGAGTAGAGCAGGACTTTTATCACCCGTGTTTTACATACGACACTCTTGTTAACACACCCCAGAATTATATTGTCCTGCTTTGCAACTGCGTCACATTGTTGACTCGTTCAATTTTTGATCCACTAAAACCCCCAGATCCTTTTCAGCAATAATACCACCTAGCCAGTTATTCACCATTTTGTAATTGTGCATTTGATTTTTCCTTCTTATGTGAAGTACTTTGCCCTTTTATCGTTACTGAATTTCATCTTGCTGAATTCAGAACATTTCTCCAATTTGTTAAGGTCATTTTGAATTCTACTCTTTTCCACCAGAATGCTTGCAACCCCTCCCAGCTTGGTCCGCAAATGTTATGAGCATACTCTTCACTCCATTATCCAAGTTACTAATGAAAATATTGAATAGTACCAAAGCAGAATGACCTCTTTATAAATTAAGATTTATACACATAAAGAGTGAGCTGTATGACATGGAAGTTGTAATCCATTGTCCCCTCCTTAATGAGTGTTAAGTCAAGCAGCAAAGGCAATGGAATTCAGAATGAAATTTGAAACTTTGTGCAAAATGAGAATCAAATCCAACAGTTTCACTCATGGAGTACAATCCTAACCCTACTGAAAGTTTGCCATTGACTTCAATGGGAGCAAGATTACACCCATTAACTTGATTATTCCTGATCTGCACTGGTGTAAATGAAATCAGAATCAGGCCTTATATTCTCTCTCTCTCTCTCTGGCATGGATTCTCTGGTCTAGCCAAGCTGTTCTCAGCACAGGACCATTGCCCAGGATGGCTTTTTTCTACCTTAGTGGTTCATTTCAGGGCTGTCCTTACACCTGACGACAGCTCCAAAGGCAACACATGGGCATGGCTACACCCCAAATCCACCCTGGCCACACTTCATTTTTATTAGACATGTCCTCTCCACTGGGGGGAATCATCAGTGGAGCTGGAGCTGCTAGGTTTCCAGCTGCTTTGTCTAGCCAGAGTGGATAGAGTCCCGAAGCTGTGACTGACAGACCCTGGCTGGTTTATACAACATTTCCAGATGGTCAATGGAACTGCTTCTCTGACAGTGGTGAAGGATCAAACACTCCAAAAAGATACCCTACCCAGCTGTTGCCCAGACCAAAATTTTTCTAGAGTTTATAGGGTATTTTCTGGACCAACTCACTTAACAAAAAACCCAAACAAGTCTCTGCAGGGTGGCGCCTGCTTTCTGCCTGGTTTGTTTTTGTTTTTTTGGTTTCTTTGAACGAAACTCAATCATGACTGAACTTACAGATGACACTAAAAGTGGAAGGGGTAAAAAAAAAAAAGTATAGGAAGAAAGAAAGATATTGCACAGTGACCAGTAAGGGCTGAATGAGAGGATGTTCAGTACTGATAACTGTGATGGCTCAAACGCAGGGAGAGGAGATAAACTCCTGGGTGAAATGTGGGCCCCATGGCTGACAATGGCAAAGTTTCCGTTGACTTCAGAGGAGCCAGAATTTCATCCCACAGGTACAAAATGGAGAATCTGCACCCAACAGCACAAATCACAGTAGAGTGAATTTATTTCCTCTTATCTCAGTATCTTATCCTGCCCTAATATTACTTCCTCATGTTACCAAGCACCACGGTAGCTGCAGGAATGCTATGGATTTGGATTTGGAGGTTGCAAGCGGATGTGTCTTCAAGAGGCTATTTTCCTTCAGAACCTTTGCTCTATGACAAAGTTGAGAACCCCACGGCCGCCCAAATGATACTTTAGAAAATGTTTTATAAAAATTTCAGATTATTATGAAAACAGATTTAACAATACCACCAATTAGTGTTAACATTCAAATTATTATGAAAACAAACTTAAATCCACTGATCAGTCTTAAATTTAACACTAATTTTTAGCTGAAATGTTACCTGGACCAGCACAAAGAACCGTTTCTTCCATCTCTTCCAAACGTTTTTACCAATGGCCCATAAGTATCTAGGGGAAAAAATACAGAATAGCTGAATTCAGTATACACACACTGCTTATTCTCCTATTGCTTTGTAGTGTCATTGCTCCACAGCTCGACAAGGAAGTCAACACAAAACCAGGAAGAATTACAAGGGTCCCAAACTATGCACAGTTAGCAAAGAGCACGGTTGTGATTTCTACTGTCAAAATAAGCTGTAAAGATAGCAACATAAAAAGCTATTATAGACTCATGATTAATGTCAGAGAACATTTACACAATCTCCAATGTGCTCTAAATCTCTTAGATGGAGAACTGGTAAAATGTAAGCAGGAAAATGTGTGTTATGTACAGTAGTTGCCATCATTTCATTATTTGCTAACTCTCAAACATGAAGGGGCTGATTCTTCTCTTGCTTACTCTGGTGTAAATCAGGAGTAAAACATGATAAAGGGCTTGACCCAAAATTTGTAGGAGACAATGGAAGTCCTTCCCTAAACTTCAATGAGTGTTGGACTGGGCCTTAAGTGACAGCAGAATCAGGCCCACTGTGATCAAGTTTCAGAGGAATATTGATGACCTAGTAGGATCCAGAACTAACACAGGCAGGCAATTCCAGAAACCAACCTTCAGGGATTCACGCTATCAGCTCTTTGGGGATGATTTATTCAGAGAATTTCCTATTACTGCCTATTTTTATGGCCACATTTTAAAAAGGCAAAATGTATTTATTCAGCATTATTTTCTCCCCCTTTTTTTCTTTAAAAGGAAAAAATAAATAGCAAGGATGAGCGTAAGGAGCATAAGTCATCCGATCTGCTATAAGAGCCGTATAACTCAGAGAAGTGGGCCGTGTGAATTAGGAAAGGACGTTTTTGGAGTTATTGACTATAGGAGTCCTTTAACTTTACAGAACAGCTACCATACAGTCAAGTGGGAACAGATGATATTTGCAGTGGAAAAACTTGGAAATCTTTAGCATTACTTTCTAGCCTTCATAAACCCATTTTGTTGAGGGGAGCTATGTAACATAAGGGTTACTCAAAACACGAAAAACTGGGACTGTAGAATTTGGACTGACTCAACTAAATAACCTGGTTGATAAACTTAAGGCAAATTTCTAGGCATCTACCTGGTTACCATAATTCAGATGGAATGAACTCTCTCTAATAAGGAAGTGAATTCATCACCCCTATAAAGGAAGAATTAGGGCTTTTAAAACTCATTTTGTGCGTAATCTCTGTGATAAAGCACCTGCTGTAGCTGCCACTGCAATCCATAATAAAGACACTGGCAAAAATAATAGTAGTAGTAGTAATAATAACAATAATAAACACAAAGACATCATCCAGTGCGGTTAACTGGTTTTATTCAATGGGACTGTGGTGTACTGTATCAACATGTTTCTCTCAAGATATCTGATCCCTTTGCCTTTTTTCTGCACCAATAAATACAAAGACAGTAATTTTCTGTTATGCTGGTTGTCCTGTTTGTCAAAAGCGATCCCGTATGAATACATAGTCTTTGCGCGTGTATAGGCTTCCATCGTGGTACACACCCAATTCCACATAATACGCTAACCTGGGTAGTGGGGTCTTGGTTTATGTTACAAAAACCTGGAGCCCAATTCTGCTGCCACTGGAGCCAATGAGAAGTTTGTCATTGTCTCGAATGGTAAACTGGGGTTTGACTCTGTGACTCTTACATAAAATGTGCCCAGTTTCAGACTTTAGGGTGCACAAGCCAATTAACAGAATCAGGCATCAAAAAGCATTCTAAGAATATAATCAAAAGTCCTGTGAGTTACTTTTGCTTCATCTATAGATGCTGATCTGTAGTTAATGGGAGTTTTTCCATTGACTTTAATGGGAGGTTTCTCATGTCCTTATACAGGTGGATACAGACAGGGCCGGTGCAACCATTTAGGCGACCTAGGTGGTCGCCTAGGGCACTAGGATTTGGGGGGGCGCCATTTTCTTTGGCAGCGACCGCGGCGGCCGGATCTTTGGCCACCCCAGTCGCCGCCGGCATTTAGGTGGAGGGAGCTGGGGCAGTGGAGCGCGGGGAGGGCCGCCTGCAGCAAGGGGGGGGGGCGGCACGCAGGGGAACTCCCCGCCCCAGCTCACCCCTGTCCCCGCCTCCTCCCCGAGCACGCTGTGGCTGCTTCGCTTCTCCCACCTCGCGATGCCTAAGCTGATTGGCTGCCGCAAGCCTGGGAGGCGGGAGAAGTGAAGCAGCGACAGCATGCTCGGGGAGGAGGCGGGGCAGGGATGAGCTGCCACGGGGGGAGGGGGAGTGCCTCAGGGCGGAGGGGGGGAGCTGCCACGGGGGGGTGCCTGAGGGCGGGGGCTCAGGGACGGGGGGGGCACAAGGTGGAAGTTTCGCCTAGGGCGCGAAACATCCTTCCACCGGCCCTGGATACAGGCCATTAGGTGCAAAGGTAGAATGGTTTCTGCCCATTCCTCCCACAGGTAACCCTGTTTCATTAGGCACCCTAAAAGAAATGTTATGATTTAGTATCAGCAAACTTGTGATCTCAACACAAATTAATAGGCAAACAAGTAAAATAAACCTTCTAAAATCCTGGATCCATTTAAGTCAAAGGGAGCTTTGCCATTGGCTTCAGTGGATCCAGGATTTCACACCTGGTAACATATAAAGCTGTAGGTTCTACACTAAGATTGAGACTCACTCTAGGTCCTTCTGCATAGAGATTTCCTGTTTCAGCTAATTTAAAAACAAAACGTAAAATCCCAACCTATAACTGATTTCTCATAATTAAATGCTGTTTTGTCAACAAGTGTCAGCAGTGAAACATTGCAAGACTTCAGTGCTGACAAGCACCGCAACATGCTGTTTTTAGTTGTTCTGTATTTGAACAGTCAAATCATTGATTGACAACCTAAATGTATTGCACAACAAAGTGGCATGCCAGGATGTGAGTGCTGAAGAGAAGCGTATTCTAATAAAGACTTTGGCCAGATTCCGCTCTCAGTGATGCCATTATAAATCCAGAGTAACTCCAGTGAGGTCATCCAGACATACACCAATAGAACTCCCCAAATTTGGTCTCCACACTGTACAATATTTAGCTAACACCTTTAACACAGATTCTCTGCAATGAAGCTGTAGGGATTGATTCACATGCCCAATAAAGTCAATGGAAAGGTTCTGATTCATTTCAATGGGTTCCGGATCAGGCTCCAAGGGTAGCTATTGCAATGAACCAATATTTTAAAGTAAATAATTTTAACCAACACCTTCTAAATCAAACGTTAGACCAAAAAAGCACGACCAAAGCTAGGGCTATTCAGTCCAGTTGCCATCAGAAGCTGCAAGGAAAACAAATATGACGGATGAAAGAATATCCTCTACGGATGATTTCTGGAACCCTGTGATGGCCAACTATGCTCCAAATGTGGCTAGGGATCCCGACCTCACTACTGGACAGACAAACAAGGCGGAGGAAGACAAAAGAAAGAGGATGAGTGGTTTGATCCCTCTATCAATTATGATGCAAAACTTTATGAAAATAAATAATTTTTGTAGCTATAGAAATACGCATCTGGAGAAGAAGTTAAACAAAACAATCTTTTTTCTGGATGGTTTATGTGGTAGCTATTTATTACATACTCTTCCTCGAAGAGAAATCAGAGAGGAAAGCCTTGCCAATGGCCTTGGTTATATCCTCCTAGAGCTGATCTGGTTTATAATCCGGTAGTATGGGGAATGTGCTTATCTGCCTGTCTGAGAAAATAAAGGACGAGGAAGTATTCTTCTTTGGTTAAATGAGTTTATTGAATCGGCCAGCTCAGGATTGGCTGAAGTGCATATGGTTTATGGAATCATGATAGGAAGAGCTCATTTTCTGCCCTCAGAAACATACAACTCCCACTGTTTCAATGTGAGTGAAGATCTGGGCCCAAAAGACAGAAGAAGTCAGTTGGGTCATCTAGCCCATTTCCCTGCCAACAAAGAACATTTTCCCTACTGTATTTTTTAGTGTCTGCTGTGTCTACTGTAGTTTTCAAAGTCTCAGTCAATGGGGGATTCCATCATTCCCTCATGAGACTATTCCATGGCCTAGGATATCTCTGGTGGGAGTTTCAGTCTGATATTCAGGTATAACTTTTAATGACTTTAAATTCCATCCCATTACTTCTAGTTATACCCTCATGTTTTACTCTATGTGAATTCTATTTAATTCTACAATTGTAAAGGATTGTACATCCCAATATAAATAATGATGCTAATAGTTCATCTTCATCCTTGGTGTATACCTCAAGCAGAAAGCCCGTTGTCTTGTTGGTTCTGAGAATTCAACGTTGGAAGAAACAGAATAAATTGGGAAATTATACTGATGTTGAAATAAAAGACCAGGGCATCTCACTGGTTATTTTCTATCAGAGAAACTAAAATCCTTAGTCATTTCCTCAGGAGTACTGCTTAAGGATTTAAATTGTTAGGATGATGCACATGAGCGTATTAAAAGGATTATGCTAAAATATGTAAAGTGCACTGCAAATGAGTGAACTAGCTCCATTTCTATATTTATGCCTCTTTCATCCTTCTGTGAACTTGAGAATAAAACAGTCTCTCTCCACTCCTGTCATGCTCAAGTTATAAAATCCAAACTCAAACCCAATTGATTCAGAACAAAACAAAGCACTTACCCAGAATGCTTCATGTTTTGAGGTTTATCCATTCGGACTGCAAGTTTGATCTTTAGATCTTGATCTGAGCAGTTTTTGGAAACAGTCATTTTGTGCCACTCTGATTGTTTTGGGCTATTCGGAGTAGGGTGAAGAACCACCTGCACATAACAAAGATAGCAATGGTGAAGGAGAGAAGTGACCCATTACATTGGTTTTAACTGGGAATTAAAATACATTCCTATTGACTTGATTAGGGGCAGGATTTCACTCACCATATTTTAAGTTAAATTTTATTATTTTGGGATTTTATATTGTACCTCCTTGGCTGTTCTAGCTCTGCATAATTATTCTCAGTGTCTTGAAAAATGTAATTGCATGTGGTCACGATATGTGACATTTACCATTGTCAGTATTTTTCCATCTTTAAATCATCTGAGAAACGACTAAGGCAAAAGAATTCACAGTTTCACAGATAAGTCAGTCTCCAGGGCAGTTCATACTGATATACAAGCGGAGCAGGTAGCAACCTGCTATAGTTAATGTTGTCGGACATTCTTCATTTTGTTACCGTTTTCAGTTGCTTATAACTTTGCCAAAAGTTCGGGCTGACTGGCTGGCTGCCTCAGGTAGAGATTTTTTGGAAAGTTTTAATTAAAAATGCTTTGGAACAGGGACTTAAAATTTGACTTAAAAGAGGTCAACCTAGCATTAAGGATGTGCCTTTTGCTGTCCCTGTGAAAATCTGCCCACATTTGGCAAAATGAAAAGCCTTTGAAAAATCTCAGTTAGCACATGCTCAGTAAAGTCTTGTTAAAGTTTGCCAGCTAAATTCTATGACAATTCTGTCTGCACCCCACTGGGCCTGCTCCTTCCCTTCGCAAATCCTACATGCTGACTGGAATCAATGCAATTACAAATTGCATCATAATGCATACATACAAAAAGGCCAAATTAATTAAGGATGCCTGTGCATTCTTATGGCATATCCTAACTTTTGAGTGCTGGGTTTTGCAACCTTAATGTTCTTTTAACACACTTTTTTTTGCCTGTAATTCTATTTACAGTGTGGGCACTTTATATATTATTTACCCTTCAAAGCAGAAGATAAGGAATAATGGGAAATATCTACTAGAGATCAGTGTTTTGGTTTAGTGCATTTGTTATTAAATTGGAAAAGCTAATACCTGGTGGTCATGAGCAACCTTGTTAAATAACTAATTAATTGGTGATCTAGGTTAAATTGTTTAAATGTATGATATTATTAACTAATAATTATTATTAACTATTATTAATAAGTATTCATTAAAATAGTTTAAGGAGTAAAGCATACACAATAGAAGAGAAAAGAATAAAGATTATTACTGATAAAAATGCTTTATTAGTAGTAATAATATTACTAGGAACTTCTGTCAAAACTCAGGGTCTCATTGAGCTGGGAACTATACAGATATGTAACAAAAAGGGCAGTTCGTGCCCTAGAGAGATCACAACCTAAATGACAGACAGGACACAATTAAATGACGAAACTGACATACGAGTGGGATGAGGTTAAGAAAATGAACAGCGCTGAGCAGAAATGCAGAAGTCACAGCTCCGTTAGTACTCATCTGAGACAATTGGGATGTATTATAATTTTGAATAGAATAATGTACCTGATCAAAGTCTGCTAGAAGGAGAATAATTTGTTGGCTTTTATTTGGTTTTGGTGGGTTTTATTTGAACTAATTTTTGCATGACTCTGATCCATGAGCAACTGATTCAATGGAGAGAGGTGTTTCCGTCAATTATCGATTTTAGATCATATGCCACAGAGTCAAGTAATTTAAACAGGAGAGTGCAATAAGTTTAAATGTAAACCATGAAAGATTTATAATTACGGAGAGAAATGTTCAGCAGATGTGTGTCCTTTACTCATTGTTATTTTTATAAGACTTAGGACAAAATTACATTAATTGAAGAAATACAAACACTTCTCAAATGGAGGCTTTTGGCTCATTAAATTATAGCTTTTGTAGGCACTTTGGTTTGTCTCTGTTACATATATATGCCCTGACAACAATCCTTCTTCCTTGAAGTTCTCAGATAGCTAGTTGGTTCCCACTCCCATTCTTTTCTGCACTAGGCTCCTGTCAGTGTCTGAGTCTGGCTCCTTTCAGAACACCTCGGAGTCAAATTACTGCAGGTGCGCCAGTCAGGGAGGATGCAGCCCAATTCTTTGACACAATATTACTGAAGAAGAAACAAGTTGGAACATCAATGTGAGAGTGAGTAACCCCTACTGAAAAGGGAAGCGGCGGTCACTTTCCCACCGCAGGCAATCCCTTTGAATTCAATTAAACAGTCCTGAAAGTAAATCAGCCTTCAGCTCGTTAGCCCTGAATGAGGGTCCGCTTACAGTCTGCTCCTGTGGAGAGAGTTGGAGGTGTCATGGAGCAGACCCCAGACAGCCTCTGCTGGCGGGGTTCACCAATACCCAGCAAACCATAGCAGAGCGATATTTGGCTATATTTATGGACATCACGTACAAACAGCTATTTGCATTTTATCTCCTAACTAAGCTGCCTCCCCCCCCCCCCGAAAATACCAAAGGGACTGCTCTGCAACACACAAAACAAAGTAACAATGTTGCAGAATAGTTGTAGTCATGTCGATCCCAGGATATTAAATAACAAGGTGTGGGATTGGGCTAATATCTTTTACTGGACCCTCTTCAGAGACCTGAAGAAGAGCTGTGTGTGGTTCGGAAGCGTGTCTCTCTCCCCAACAGAAGTTGGTCCAATAAAAGATATTACCTCCCCGACCTTGTCTCGCAAAAGGAACAATATAGCAGTTGCCTGGCCATTCTAAACACACAATGAGATTAAAAAAAAGGTGGAAAAGTAAAATTCAGATAAAATCCCCCCCCCCAACTTTTACTTTTTTTTTTACCTAGTCGGATGAGAGGCAGCAGACAAAATTTCAGACAGGTCAGTTTGTTGGCAGGGGTCTTCAAAGAGCCCCCCATCCCCTTTGTGAGTCTGAGCATACATCCTCTTTTGGAGCAATTGATTTTGGGTTAAATTTTAGCAATAGTTCACCTTCTATATTCTATGCTTCCTGACTGAACACAGGGCTGGAATTTAAAATGAACATAAATACATCTGGCATATTCCTATAGCAGTGCATATTCATATCAGATGCCAAGATATCAGTTGTTGCAAAAGGTTTATAACCTTTTCAGCGTTTCTCACTTCCGCCTCCGGCAGGGAAGAGATGATGGTCCAGAACCTCAACTGGTGCAAATCAGTGGAACTTCACTGGCTGCAGTGGAACTACGCTGGTTTATACCGGCTGAGGTCATGACCTGGTAACTCTAAGAATTCTGAAAATTCTTCAAAAGGATCTTTTTGTCCATCTGCTTATTCTACACTCATTATCATGGCATTTAATATTAATTGCCACAAGGGGTCATGTTTTACCCTCTTTGTGTGCTTGGAATTTTCACTGACATCGATGATAACTGGGCCATGGATTGCAGACAAGCAATGGCCCACTGTTTAGAAAGGACAGTGCCTCTCAGATAAGGAAGAATAGAAAGACCAAGCCTGTCACTACTTTCTGGGAGTACAATATTTCATTTCCTCCTAGTGACTCTACCTCTATCCCTTCATGTAATTTATTCCCAATTATTATAGTACATGTAGATGTGTGTGGCTAAAGCCTCAGTAATTTCGTAACTATTCTGTGTATTGAAATGACTCTCTTCATTCCTGATGCATAAACATTGGTCTTTTGATCTTTTCATTTTCATACTTGGTTTTTTGTTACATTGGTTTTTTGGTTTTGTTTTCATCCTATTCTGGTGCCTCACACCAATGCATGTTAAAATTCCTTAAAGTCTCCACTCTTGGGCAGCGAGATGCATCTCCTCATAATGTATTAGCCTACAGGCAAGCAAATTCTTTTTATAACTGGCAGTATTCACCCTCATTACTTATGGTGTTTCTATCATTCATTCCTGACTGGTATAATTCCATGCAACTTCCAAATACCAACCCAGTTTATCATCCCTTTATTATACTCCATCGAGCTTCAGCTTTACTTCTGATACAACAAACTATAATTTATTTTTTCTGCATGGAGACCAAAGTGCCCTTGACACTGATACCCAGTGCACTTTTTTAGGATTTGATCCAAATCCCATTGAAATCGACCGTCAACTGTAATGTATTTTGGATCAGGCCCTTATTCATCACCTTGTTTAATGCTATACATACTGAATTTTACCCACTAGATTTATCCTTTATGTTTAATCATCCAGACAAACTTTACTGGTATGATTCCAAAACTGTGTTATTTATATGGATTAATACTGACAATACTGGCAGGGCATGCATTATTCTTTGAAAGGTTTGATTCCAGCATCCCTGAAGATCGGCCCTCGTTTCTTAGTGCTGTTATAATGGTCTTTCATTTCCAATCACTTTTTAAAAATAAAATCTTTTTCAAAGCAAGTTTTTGGCATTTGGTAGTAAAAGGGTAGGAGGGAAGGGCAGGGAGAGTGTTATAAACATCTGCTCTTTATTTCCAGGGGAAGAACCTTTCTCCTATGTCATGCCCAAGTGGCTGGGCTTTGGATAGGGGCAGGGTGTTCACTTGGGGTGGAGTCCTCCCTGTAGGGCCATGGAGGAGAGCAGAGCTGATCTATCGGTCGTCCTGCAACCTGACTGCTGCAGTAACATCGGCATATGATTGGGGGATCTGCCACACCATCTCCCAAAGCCTCCAGTACAAAGGGGCATAGGGAACCCCACTCCCCACAGAGCTTGGTATTAAGGAGTAAGGACCAGAGATTCTCCACCCCAGCTTTGATGCAGACAGAAACCTCTGATCTCCAGTCCAGTAAAACCTCTGCTTTTGAGGAAAGCAGCTTCCTTGTAAGTACTTTTAGGACCCTCTGTTTTGATGTATTTTTAAATTGTTCTCATTAAAAAAATGTACTTGGTGTTCTTATATTTTATTGACCGTGCTGCCCTCCGTGGGTGAAACCCTGACCCCACTGAAGTCAGTAGGAATGTTGCCATGGACTTCAACAGGGCCAGGATTTCACCCCATGAGTCTAACACGGCCCTGGGAGCAGCCATTTAAGACTTGTGGGTATGTTCCAGTTCTCACCATCAAGTGAAACAGTTAAATTGGAAGCGTTAGCCAGTTCCCAATTCAGCTATTGCCATTGTAAACGAGAATTGTAAATGTCTGGCAGACCACAAAACACTTCTTAAAGGGCAGCTAGGCATGATATTTTTGTGTACAGGACGGCATTAGTTTCCTTTCCCTTTGAGACTCTGCTGTCTTCCCTCATCAGCTCAGACAGGTTTGTGTCAATTTGAACAGCTAAATCAGGGGCTTAATGCGCTGAAGATGTAGTTGTTTGAACAAAAACAAATCTCAAAGCAGCCCAACCAGACAAGCACCATCACTAGAAGAAGAAGGCAGTTTCAGGCATACCGAGTGCCTCTTTGAAGTGCAGCTGGCTGAGAAGTGCTGGTGGACGTACTCCAAAGGAAATGATCACGTCACCCTCTGTGTTTATCAGCACCGGCCAGTCCCAGTTAGGTTTGGGAAGCTAAAAAGGAGCTGCAACTCCCCGATGGACTCAGAATGACGCTGAAGCACCGGGGCTGGCTCATCAGCATTCCAGAAGTAACTGGGGACAAGGCAGAGCCCGAAAAATGTTTTGTACAACACGCACTGCTAATTCCTTTCCAAGCCTGGCAAATTCAACACTGCTCACAATTGCCACCTGGCAAGGAAATCACAGTTCTTCAGTTGAAACAAGAGCGACAAAGCAACTGGGGTCTAAAAAAACTGTACCCACGCAGGAGAAAGAGCTGCTTGTCACCGTGGACGGTTCAGCGAAGGGCTCTGCTCGGCAGGCAGTCATTGTCACAAAAGAAAGCGCCATGGTAGAAGGTTTAAAGAATGAGTTTCGAAAACAGTACTGAGAATATTAGAATGCCACTGCATATGGCAATGGGATGTCCTCACCTGGGACAGTGTGTCCAGTTCTGGTCATCCGATCTCATAAACAGAAATAGGAAGGGTGAGGAAAGTGATCAGAGGCATGGACACGCTGATGTGTCATGAAGCAACAGAAAAGTGCTCTCCATGGGCTCTCTGAGCAGGCAATGGCACTAGTGGACACACAGCCACAAAGAGTGGAATCCAGATTGCGAACAGCAGTGACTGCGGGGGAAGGGTGGGGCAGTGAGAGGGGAGGAAGGGGTCACCAGAGGCTCTGTAGCCAAAGCCAGGGAATCTGAATCCTTTACTGATGAGGGCACTGGCAGATGAAATCCACCTCCCAGATGTAATGCAACATTTCATCTCCTAGGGCAGTGGAGGGCAAACTACGGCCCGCAGGCCGGATCTGCCCCATCAGGGATTTCAATCCAGCCTGTGGGATTTCAATCTGGAGCCTGCACCCCGTACCCCTCCCATACCCCAACCCCCTGCCCTGAGCCCCTAACCCCCTGCCCTGAGCCCCTTGCCGCACCCCGCCTGCACCCAACCCTCCTGCCCTGAGCCCCGTCCTGCACCCCTACCCCCTGCCCCTGAGCCCCCAACCCCTGCCCTGAGCCCCCAACCCCCCTGCTTACTCCGCACCCCGCCTGCACTCCAACCTCTGCCCTGAGCCCCCAACCCCCTGCCCTGAGCCCCAAAACCCACTGCCCTGAGCCCGCTGTCACACCCAACACCCCTCCTGCACTCCAACCCCTGCCCTGAGCCCCCAACCCCCTGCCCCTGAGCCCCAAAACCCACTGCCCTGAGCCCGCTGTCACACCCAACACCCCTCCTGCACTCCAACCCCTGCCCTGAGCCCCCAACCCCCTGCCCCTGAGCCCCAAAACCCACTGCCCTGAGCCCGCTGTCACACCCAACACCCCTCCTGCACTCCAACCCCTGCCCTGCGCCCCCAACCCCCTGCCCCTGAGCCCCAAAACCCACTGCCCTGAGCCC